GGAATTAGATTTTTGTTTTTATAGAAAATGGCTTGTAGAACAGCAGCTGTTGGAAGTGTTTTACACTGGAAATAACTACACTAGATCTTATCTACTACAACAGCAGAATTGTTGAGCTTTCATTTTCAGTGGGTGCCTGCTGAACACCTACAGAAGAGAAAACATTCAACTCAACGGTTGATATGTGGATAGACAGAAGTATCAAAGATCCTTTGTGCTGCTATGAACTTGGTCTGTGCTGGATGTCTGCATAATGTGCTGGAAGATCTTGGTGGTAATGAGGAAGACTGGCAACAAGCAGGACAAGTCTGCAGCAATTGGGGGACCCTATTCCTTGACAAGTAACATTTTTTGTGAGGGGAGGCTCTGCCCACATCTTAAGCAACAGACACATCAGAAGTGTGAGCTGAATCCAAATCTTTCTCTCAAATTTAATGTTTAAGAACTGATGGTTTTATCAGCTGACTGGACTTGTTTGTGCAGATTTTCTATTGTAGTGTTGTGAAAATATTTTTCTTTGCAATGATATTTCCATTGGGAGATGCCTTTGTCTTCAGAGTAACTTCCCTGAGAGTGGTTTCAAAAGTTAATCTATGGAGAATACTGCATCTTGTTTTGCAGTATTCAGATGCCCCTTTACAAAGTAAAGTAAAAGATTTTATTCTTTTTCAGGTACTATTATCACCCTTAGTTGCCGCCACCTTATTGTCTGAAATGTGGGCAGAGCTTGAAGATTTGGGGAGGTTGTCATGGACTTCACTTTAATTTAGTAATCAAATGAGAAAACTCTAGATAAGGCATGATATGGCAACATCACAGAAGCTGCTCTGTGGCAGGTGGAGAATAGCTACTGGCAGAGGAGGAAGAAGAAGGACAATTTTTTAGAGAATGAGGCAGGGAAAAGTTTGCTTGAACAGCTGGGGCTGTTGAGCGTCAAGATGATGGAAGGATGTTATGGAGGCAGAAGCAGGCAGAGGAGAGACAAAGCCAAATCCTCAGCTAACATTGCTGGGTATTTTTAGGAGTGCTTCCTGAGAGTGCTTTCTGTATATAAACAGTCGAGGTTCCAGGAGGCAGTGATGAGGGGGAGCAGTGTAACTCAATGATACCGGTACTGCAAATAGTACATTGCAAAAAGCAAACTGTTTGACTTTATTAAACTGCAGCCTCCTGCAACAGATCAAGGGTCTAGTTTCTAAGCAAAATAATTTTAGCCTAAAGAAAACTTAAATGTTGAAAGTCCCATAGGCCCTAGATTCCTGTTTGACTTGGCTTCAGGAGCTGCACATACTATTTGAACCTTAGACTACGAAGTAAATTTGCAAAGTACAAACCGTTTTGAAGCCCTTTTCCACAGTAACACACAACCACGTTATCAGAAAAACACAGGACAAAAGACAATGGGAGGAGGATCAAGTCTGACAAGTGGGCTTGACAGTGCTTTGCAATTCTGGTGGCACTGGCAGGAGCTGGGCAGATCTGGTCTAGGCATCAGGGCTATGCAGGAGAATGTCACCTGGGCTTGGTGGGCAGTGCCAAGGTTAAAGCGGAATGGAAGCCATGGGCTAATTTGGAACAGGGCAGTGTGATGCAGAACTGGGGTCTGCCCGACACTGCTTCCTTCCACCCTTGTTTACAGCCATGGGGGGTTATTTAGGGTGCTGTACCTAAAGAGTGGTCCTGTGTGTGCTAGAAGCAAAAGCTATGGATGAAGGTGCTGCCATAGGAGAGCAATCCTTGCTGCAGCAATTCCAAAGCTACCTGTGCAAGGAGGACTGAATCAATACACCTGCGAGAAAAAGGCTGACACTTTTAGCTGTTGCCACTACACATGGTGAGTACCTGAACAATATCTTGGCTGGTATTTCTTTCAGTGGGAAACCTGTCCTTGGCACCACCTCTTTGCATGAAACTTGTTGAAAATTTCTGTCCTCTCTTCCCTTGGCTCCTTGCACAGCAGATTTATGGTCTCATTTTAATTTTACAAATAAAACCCTAAGCGCAAATCCAAAGGATAAATAACATAGTGCAGACATGCCCATGGCAATATTCTCTGTATCACTGCTGAAAGTCTGAGAGGAGAAGCTAGTGAAGGCAAGATACCTCATGTGAGAAAACTCCTCTCATGCTTTTGTGCCAATTTTGGAGGTTGGAGAGCAATCCTCTTGTGCTTTTCCCCAAACATCCTGCTGCAGCTCAGGCAGACTTCAGGTGTCTTGTCTGCAAAAGGGGGCTAAGGCACCCACCCTTCCTGGCAGGGTTTTTGTGAGGGAGGTATATCAGCTCCATCACAGTGCTCAAGGCTTCTCCTTCATAAGGACAGAATGGACAGGTGTTCATAAATAAACTTGAGCATTTGCTCCGCACCAGGTAAGGGTGCTCATGGAAATGGTAGTGGTGTCACTGCTGCTCTGCCCATTAACATCTCTGCTGTTCCAATTGCTTCCACCCTGCCTGTGGCCTCCACTGATGTACCTTGGGCAGGAAATGTTTAACCAGGGCACTGGGCAAGTGCCACAGAGGCACCAAACCTGCAGGGCTGAGTGGGGCTCCTTTCAGCTGACTCAGTAGCACTGAAATGGACAGCTGCAGCCTCTAAACACCTCTGCTAACAAGGGTGGCTGTGGGGGAAGGAAGTTATTCCTCATTTCTCAAGCTGAACTGGTGTTTTACAAGTCTGGATCTTGAAATTATACCACAAGCTATATCTGGAACCACCTGAAATATTGTTTTCATTCTGCCTTGATTTCAGCTGCAATTTAAAGGGTCTTTTGTTTAACTAAGCACAGGGGCAATAAACCTCAGCGTGCAGGACACGTGGGTCAGAGGTTAGGACTCAATTGTCATGAATATGCTCCTCTGCCCCTGCCAGGCCACTGCATGGTGCTGCAGCTCTCACAGAGAGGGAAGCTAATGGTGGGCCCAGGAACACTGTCTCCTGAAGGGTGGAGAGCCTGGAAGGAGATGGGGGACCTGCCTCTCACTGTCTATACTTCACAGCAATGCAACGCACTCACAATACCTCAGGCATATCTAGAAAAGGATTTCTTTTTGTTCTGGGATTGGATTATTCTCTTTGAGTATTTTTGAGTTTTTTGGATGTCTTGTTTTTATTGTTTACTTGGGTTTTTTCCCCATATCGAAGAGGAAGCTTTACTATACACCTGTAATGGTGATAAGAGCCAGAAGCCCTGCTCTGCCAGTGCCCTAGCTCACCTGGCACGCTGCAGTTCCAGACAGATATACTGATCCCAGCTGCAAGTCATTGATGGCAGGGAAATCTATGGCCTGCCCTGGCTGGCTACAATAGTCACACAACGGCCAACAGGCCTCTCGACTGGGGTAACTTTAGGCTCAGTCAATCTCACAGGTTGTTCACTTTAAGTTCTGCCCTGCAACCACGTATGTTTCCAGATGTGCAATGCACTGGAAATTATAACCTGTCCTGATGGGCTCAATGCATGGAGATTTTGGACTGTTGTGTATCATGCACCCCTTGTGCTTTAATATAAGGATTGGCATGGGTCGAATTACGGTGGTTTGAAGGGAGTGGTTAGTAAGGCAACTGAAAATACCACTCACAAAACAGCTTCAGCATGGTCTGCAATAAAAAAGAATCCCCAGACGGACCAAGATGGAAGAGACCCAAGTGCCAGGAGTGGTTCAGTCACCATGCTTACTGAAATCTAATCTCCTTGCTGTGGCAGGCAATAAGAGGCCTGTGAAAACTATAACCTGATTTTTTCCATCATTAGCTATGACCTCGCTTCTGACTGCTTACTCCAGTCTCAAAGGATGGGACCCTTTCTGGAGGGAAGACCTGTGCCTCTGTTCCCTGAAAGGAAATTAGTCTGTAGCATTGCTATGCTTTGCTTAATATGTTTATGAAAGTGGAAATACCACCTGAATTCCTCTATAGACTCTGCAGGGAAATCATGTTTCCATATTACATTATGAGAAATGCAGCAAAGGTGTGCTATGCTCAGTTAATATTTTTAAGGTATGGAGGTAAAAGAAACTTCAGTTCAGAATAAGTATATGCTTCCCTCTTTCTATTCAACATCCATGGTGTTATAAATACAAACTGCAGGGTACTTTCAGAACTGAAAGCCTTTAAGACTTCTCGAGGGAAAACATCACACCAAATTAATCTGCCGTCAAGTGGAAATTCTATATTGTTTGCATTTGCCAATGTTCTGTATGTGGCTGTAATTGCACTGAAGCAAATATCTGCTTCGAGTTCTTCACAAGATTAAATGTGGCCAATTGGGCGTAAAAGAGTAATTGAAATGCAGAGCTGCTGCTTTGGATTTGTTAGAGGCATTGCTCATTTTTGCTTTGACATGACGACACTAGGTTCTGACTTTCCATTAAAACAGGGAAATCTGGGGAATGTGATTTCAAGCGTCGGGTTGCAAGCTCAGAGGAGGACATTCATCTGGCACTGCACTGCCCTGCAGAGTGCCAGCAGGCAGTGTGCCCTGGGCATGCTCCTTGCTCCATGCGTGCAAGGGGACACCTTCCTCTCTCTGACCAGCAGAGAGGCTGTCGACAGCTGGGCCCCAGGGTGCAGCATCTGCTTGAGAGCTTGAGTTGGTTCCTGAGGATGTCATGGTCCTTAAGTTCTGAGCATTTGCCATAGATTTGAAGCAAAAAGGACTTGTGAAGGTCCAGCAAGAGCCTCTGTGGCTTGTAGCAGAGGGAGTCCATGGTCTGAATTGCATCCTAATGTGTCACCACGTCAGACCAAAGGACCATGTCAGCTTGCAAAACCTGCAGTCTCACCCTAAGCCAGCTGGATGTGAAGTGTTAAAGATTTGCTTAAAAGCCGTATGCTTTCCTTTTATTTTACTAGCTTAGTCATTTTCCCTCTAGCCAAATAAATGCAATTATAAGCAAGTAAAAACTAATTTTTTAAAGTTGACTGTGTTGCCTTTGAATTCTATGTGAAAACCCAACTGCTCCCTGTGCCCTGTCCAACAGGCCCAGGTGAGCAAAACTGCCAGTTTGAATCCTTTATTCCATTTTCTTTCCTATTAGTGCGCTTATGCAAAAAATACATGCCTGACAGTTCCTAACAGTTTGCTCATGCTCAGCCTTTCCCCAGATTTTCTCGGTGCAGCTACAAAGCAGTCCTGACAGCATCCTTGCACTCTTCAGAGAGGGCAGCATCTCTTGGGCTGGTGCCAGGAGACAAAACTTCTTGGCACTAGCAGGCTCCTCTGCCTGTGCCCCTTCCTAACCGGAGGTCCAAGTCCCGAAGCTGCTGGAGGAAGCCGGAGTTGGGGCAGATCCCTCTGTGGGAGCGCACAGTCTCAATGGCGGTGGTGAGGGACATACCTTCACAGATCATTAAGAAAGCGAGGACAAGAGTTGCAGACCGACTGATTCCCATTGCACAGTGAACCAGTACTTTGCCTAGAAAAAGGAGAGAGATTTGCAATTATGCCAGCAGGCCTCATGGTGGGGGTTATTGTGCTGGAGCAGAGATGGAAGCTGGTACTGGGGATGGACAAGCAGGTGTGTACAGCCCTGCAGAGCAGCCCTGGTGCAGTTCCTCTGGTTGGGGAAGATGGGTTTTTACTGGCTGGGGACAGAAAATTCGTAGTTGTGTTCCAGCATCCGTGGTCACTTGTTTGAGCTTAGCTGTCAGCCTGACAGCACACCCTTATCCCTCCTGCCCAGCCTGCCATCCGTCGTGTCCCTGCTTGCTCATGTGTGGTTTTGGGAGTGATGTACTTGCTGGCAAAGTTTCAAGAGTTCATACTTGATGTTTGTACTGTGGGAAGCAGCCTTGGCAGGTTACTTATTACTAGAGGGCTTAGAAACTTGGGATTTCAGAAGTGCAATGCTCAGGATTGCTTACTGCTGTTACAGCAACACTCCTGGTTTTCCACAAACTCTTTTTTACTTCTTGCTTAGGGCAGTAATGCTTTCTGAGGGTGTTGACTGCTGCCCAGACTTTTTTGGAAGTGTGTGAAGAAAATGGACATTATCATTAAGAACAGCTGTTTGTATATGGCATTTGCAACAACTCACTTATGCATTTTTATTTCTATATGCTACCCCATACTAATCACTGTCCTTCCCTAATGCCTCTATTTTCCCCTGTTTATTAAGTGACCAGTAGGAAGACAATTTATGAAAAGTTTTTAGTTTTCCGTAAATTTCAGTGCAAGGTGTGCATCTTCATTAGGAGTTCATTAACAGTAACATCATGAGTCCTTCCCCTGTTGCTGTGAGTGAACCTCCAGGGATCCAGCAGTGTAACTCCTTCCTTCCCTCTGCTCTGCTTTTGGTTTCCCTGCTGTGAGCATGAATGGAAGCAGCGTAAGAAGCTCAATTGTGTATTGCAACTGCCTCCTAGGTTTTTAATGTGTGACTTTGACCCAGTGGAAGAAGATTAATATTTTTTAAAATGGTCTTATTTGAAATTAAATGAAGTTTTTTAATGAAAGGAAAATTTTGCTCTCAAATGGAAGAATTCAGCTTTGTGGTCCTTTCCCTCTAGATATAAACAAAAAAGCTCATTCAAGAACCTGAAAATTTGCATCTTGTAAATATTGTAAAATGCTTCAACTTTCATAAAAATGGTAAGATAAATAAGAAAATTTTAATTGAGAGTGAAACTCAATTTTTGTATGACTGTTCTACTCAATTATAACTATGCCTGAACATTTTCAAGCTCTCTTGTCCTTCGCTGCAATCAGATCTATTTTTCTGACCTGTACCATGGCCCAGCAATTCAGCATTATGATTAGAAGCACATATGAGCTTCTGAACACCAAATGGACAGCCTCTCATTAAGGCAGCTGAAGAAAATGTCTTTTTAACATGGAAATTTCTGAACGGTTCACTGGAAATCTTCACAAGTTTGAAACAAACTTGTTTTCTACTTTTTAATTTTTTCTTTTATTCTGTCACATGTAGTCTCTTGTTCATTCACTTTATAGCTGTACAAAATGCAATTTAGTGGCAGCACAATTTATATCCAGAAAAGATGAAAAATCAGTGATGACAATCCCATGTTATTTTCCTTTGGAGATGGAATAGACTGTCTCAGATGCTGGTTCTTTGCAAAATGTAAGGAGAGGTAGAAAGAACAGACAGCTTTTCATGGCGATTTCCTTGTTTTGTTTGTGCTTACAGCATCTTAATCTCTCTATTACTAGGGACCAAGACAAAAATATCCTTGTTGGATGATGAGCCCAGATCCAGACAAAACCCTCAGACTGATTGCCCCCATCCCCCTAGGTGTTAATTCTGGGTACTTTGTGCACAGCTTTTAATCTTAAATCCCATTTTGTTTATGACAGAGTATTTATTTAGCAACCATTCTAGTTCTGACTAATGACGATGGCATAGCCACATGCTCAGAGAGGGTGAGCATGTGTTGTGAAAACCTGCTCTGGCCAGCAGGTTGAGAGAAGTGTTGAGTTCCACAATTTATGTGACACAGCCACCTCTCATTATCCTGGCATGAGAAATCCGAGTGCAGCCCTAAAGATAGACGTGTCTTCAGTAGAAATAAAGGGACAAATATAGTCTCTAAGGAAGTGGCAAAAACAGCTCTGGTGACAGCATACTTGGACCAGGCATCAAAACCTTTGGGGGAAGGAAGAGGTTTTCCAATGTAAGGCTAGTTTTGCAGAATTTCTGTTTCTGTTTTCTCATCCAGATACAGTTTCATAGAATTTACTGAGATATTGCTGCCCTTATTCAAGTTAAGTTGCATCTATCTGTCAATTCCATTAACTTCATGTAAATTCTTGGAAGTGAAGTCCTACATTTATGGGCATATGGAGAAATGTTTTGCACCCCTGCTAAAGAAAATGCTAATTTGAATTTCCATCAGACTTCTTATTCAATGTGCTGCACTTCCATTAGCTTCCCACCAACCTTGTAGGGTGTGTATGCTTTATTATCTTCCCCAGAGAAGGCACTTGGGATCCAAATAATCCTGGTCTGGGATTTTCAGAGGAGCATAAAGGAATCAGGAACACAACTTTGCTTTGAAAAATACTGTAAATAGGGCTAGGCCAAAAGATTTTTGAAAAATGTTTGCTTCAGTAGTTTGCAGGAGGTCTAACTGCAATATGTTGGCAGAAATGGGAAATCCAGACATTCACCCAAAATGTACACCCCAAATAACAGAAGCCAAGAAACAAAATTTTCTGAAAATTTTTCTTGGAATCAGAACAACTCTTTTTCTTTTTTTTTTTTTTTTTTTTTTTTTTGTGGTTTTTTGTTTGTTTGTTTGTTTTTGTTTTGTTTTTGGGGTTTTTTTGTGTTTGTCTGAGAACTTTTGAGCTACCAGCACTCTACAACTAAAAGAAAAAGAATTTATGTTTTGAACTGCATCATAAGAGAGAAAAACAAACAAGAAAAAGCCAGAAAGAACTGGCCTTGATGTTAGATTCTATTTTGCATCACTATATATTTTGAAATTAAATCTCAATTTGTGCATAAACTGGATGGGGGACAGGACACTTTATGTTCTGAATCTAATTTTTGGAAAATTGTTTGAATCCTCCCCCTCCACCTGTATGAAGACTTCTGCCTTTGAAAGTGCTCTGCCCCACTAGCAGTCTTGAATTGAAGACCAAACTGAGCACAGGTATAAACGCTGCTGTTAAATATTGCCTGTTATGTTTTTGTTGGAGGCACGGAAAGCAGAACAAATGCCAGGATCCTGCTTGTACAGGCTGGCTCTCTATTGTTTTGTGTCTGTGTCTGAGCGAAGACTGTGTCCAAAAAGAATACACTGAATTTTCTTCCCTGTTCCTTTGGCTTATCTGCACTTCAGAAGAGTCCTCTTCTATCAGCAAAGAGCTTTAGAAGGTATCTCAGCAAAAACCTGGACAAGCCCCAAGTACTGATCTTGGTCCTAATCTGCATGGTTCTCTAATCACTTGTTCCCAAGAGAATGTAGGTATATTATCTCTTTTACAAGTGCAATATGTATTCCAACATTGTTAACCTCTGTGCATAGTGAAACAAGGGCTATGACAAATGCTGGTACACTGACAATAAAACTACTTTTTTGTTGCAGATAAATCAGTCGTGTGAAATGATTTAATTAATGTAAAATTGCTCTAATGAGAGCAGATTTTAATTTACTGTGTGATTATTTTTAGCAAACAAGTTGAATATTAAACTTGAGTAAGGAAACAAAAGCTATGTTGCTATTTGGTTCTGTTTACAGGGTCAGACCCTTGTTTCTTAGCAGTGGCTGCAAATGGGTGAAGTGACACTGAACCCCTGGTGACATCCTGCATGTGACCAGTGCCTGAAGCACGTCTGCTCCGTGGGCGATTCCAGCCATTCCATCAGCCCCTCGTGGGACAGGACGCGCAGCTGAGATGTCCCAGCACTCAGGCTCAGATTCCTGGGCGGCTGCTGGAGCACAGCCATGGAGAGCAGCGTTCTCAGAGGCGGTTGTGTGCTTCCGTCATGTGGAAGGCAAGGAGCTTATAACCACATCTCCTGTACCACAGAATCCGTGCCATGAGCTGTCATCTTCCAACTCTGCCTGCCCCACCCCCATTTGATTTAACATACAAAGAGAAGCTGGACCGGTCCCACATTAGGGGACCATGTTGCAACCTTCTCTCTGAGCATGAAACAGGATCCTTTAGGAATAATGGGATTAACTGAGGAGAAGTAGGGGCACTTAGCTTCTGGCATTATTAAATCTTGCAATCCTTATTTGAAATTTTGCACCACACATCTCAAGCTACTTTTTGCAGAGCCAGACAATAACTGTCATCTGTCTGGGATTTGTGCAGAACAATAACACTTGTTTTTTAACAGCGGATTATGGATATTCTATCCAGCTCATGCCTGCTGTAACTCTACTAACATCAAAGGGTTTGCACTAGGGATAAAGTTTGCACATTCAACTTTGTTGGCTAAATTCAAGTTAGGAAATTCAATGTTGTTGAACAAGATCAGTCATTAAAACACATAATAACTTATTGTCCTTTTGCTAATCATCATTACATGAGCTAAATCTCCTAAACTAGCCCTTGCTTTCTTTCAGGATGGATTCAATTTGGCTTAAGATGAGGCTCCAGATCTGTCACCCATAGTCAACATCCCAGCTGCCCTCACTCCATTGGATCCAGCTGAAGTGTTCTGCTCAGCAGGAGAGCTCAGCTGGGCTAATGGGCCCTAGGGGCTTGTTCCACTGTTTTCTCATCTCCTGTTAGGCTTTAGCCAGGTGCAGAATCCACTGCCTATTTCCTGATTAATCCAGTATCTGTTTTGTCACAGCTGAAAATAGCAAGAAGCCTACGGAGAGTTTTAAATAGTGGCAAGTCAGAGCAGGTAAGAGCTGTCATCTGCTGCAGAGTGGGAGGTCAGACTGAGGTATGTAACACACCGACAGTGGAGTCAAGCAAGAAGACCCTTTTCTCCAAAGTTAAGCAGCTTCCATAACTCCCACCAACAAGAAGGTGACAGGGGAGGGAGCCTAGCTTTTCATTTGCTCCACTGAAGGGGAGGAAGAGACATGGCTTTGAGAGAGTCTGCCATTTCAAGACTTTAATGGATGATTTTAACCTGCCTGTTTTAAACACGTTCAGAGGTCAATAAAAGCCAAAGCCCTTTATTTGGGAATCTTTCACTCAACAGAGTCTTAGTTTAGTAGTTTTCATGGCATGGGTTCATCAAGTTCTTTCCCTCGTCCTTCTGTGAGACTTCACAAAACCCTGCTGATTTACTTTAGGTTTAGCTGCATTCCAGAGAAATGCAAATTGCACAGGTGGCCATGCAAAGGGTCAAGATTAATATTCAAGGTGTTGTCCTTTGAGCTTGAGCATGAGGGAGAAGGCTAGTACTTTCCCAACTCCATGTTTTTCCTTGTAGGAAAGAGGACAGATTGTGCATCTGTTCACTCTTGTCTGAGCCTTCCCAAACAGCTCTGTTACATGGGTAAAGAAAGTGCCAGGCTGTGCTGAAGGAAAAGCAGTCAAGGAAGTTGGGATCATAAAATAATGCTTATGTAGCATGGCTGCAACAGTAGTGCATATATTGTCTAATTTCTGCAACAAAGACTATGTAGCCATTGAGTACTGTGACAGGAACAGCTCCCACGTAGGAGCAAGTTAGTGCACACCCCTCTGCTTCCTTTTGCTCACACTCTGGCACCTGAGTTTTAAGAAACTGCCTTAAAACAAACTTCTTACATCACCAAAGATAATATTCTGTTCAGCTAAAGTAGAAATCTGGAATAAATCAGTAGATGCTGTTTTCTGGATGTGGTATAAAGCATCAGATTTTTTTTCAAGCGTGATTGAAATAACAGCTCTTATCTAATTCTAATAAATACTTGATTCTTAGTTTTAAATACATTTGTGCCTCATACAGTCTTAACTTCGACTTGTCCTCTTAGGTAAAAAGGATGATATATTTCTGTTAAAGAAAAAAAGTGATGTTAAATTTGCTTGTAATAGTTAAGCAGCAGTCTTAAATTACTTCTTAATCAAACAGTAGTACCTTGTTACATCCTGTATTTAATATGGACTGGCCTCTTGTCACCTGGTATATTTTGTTTTGTTGTTCACTGCTTATAATAAACACTACTTTTTTTCTTCTTCTAAATTATGTGAGTAACAATCCCCTCCCTGTCTCATCCCTGCACAGGTCATGGGTATTTAGCTGCTAAATTTCTGTACCAGGAAATTATGCTTCCAGAACATCTTGTTTATATATTTTCTAAACTGTTGCACTTTCCTCAAAATGATGAATGTCAGCAACAGCTGGACAGCGTATGATTAAATTTCACCTTGTCTCCATTCCCAGAACTCTACTTCCATATGGAGTTCAGTAAAGCAGTATTAAAAGCATGGGAGTAGGGATAAATATGCCTTGAGCTGTAACTTGTTCTGCATTCATAACTTAGTATTTCAGCATGCATTTTGCAAAGCACTAGTTTTGTTTGCTATTGTGGTTTCTACAATTCATATGCTGTTTTCTGTCTTTTGTCAATTGATTTGGAACTTTGCTTTTACACACACATGAACAGATTTTGGATCTTACCTTTCTCTGGAGCACAGCCAATAATGAATTCACTTGCAAATAGCGTATGCTGTAATAAAAATGGGTGAAAATCCAAATTCCCCAAATGCAGCCCTAAGCTGCACAAGGGCAAATATTTTCTAACAGAACAGAACAAGCCCTCCAAAGAGCAGGAAATGCACAGGTATCTAGCATTAAGGTACACTGTTTGCAGTTACTGTGCCTCCCCTTCCTGGCTAGTTGGGTGTGGACCAGATCTACCAATGTATATAATTAGACTGAGTAGTCAGTATTTTAGGACCCTAATTGCAATTAAAGCTCACCATGATGCAAGCAAGATGGTTTGCTGAGTGTACAACTGTTCTCTTATTAAATCACTTTTGAGTAGTATCTGTACAGTTTTGTGGCACGGTGATGACTTGCTTTTGTGAAGGCTTGCCCTTAGTAGTAATCTCCCATTGGCCCCAAGCCTCGTCTTGTACCTGGCATGTATTTAGTGAATCTGAAGATTTATTTAGAAGTTATACTTTTTCTAGCGACAGCATGACTTTATTCCAGGCTGGTGATGTTGCTTGATCTCCCTTCTATTAAATTGCTTTCTAGCAAGTTCTTCCCTATTCTGTGTTTGTAGGACTTACACAGATTGTAGCATTATAGTTGAATCTTCTTACTCAAATATGACACTTACCCTTGTCTTTTTTTTTTTAAATCCCATCACTAACTTGAAAAGATCAAATAATGTGCCTCCTCCCAGGTCAGTGTGTCCCTGTAGGTAATGAAGGACATTTGCTATTTTGTCTTTTACTGATGAATAACACTAGGCATAGGGAGAACCCTTTTAAAAGCCTGTTCAGTGCATCCTTCCCTGTTTCAGGGATACAGGAGAACTACCATTAGGAGTTCAGGAGGCAGGTAGGATGCTACTTTGTTTGGGTATTTCCATTCTTATCCACATGCAGGTGGGTTGGTCTATGTAAAATAATATTTGGTAACTTGCCCTGCTTGTCTACTATGCAGAAAATACGCAACATGCACAGATGGTCTAGTTACCTCTTGGGGAATTCAGTGCTTCTCTGATGTACTGAGCAACTGGATAGAAGTGAATGCTGAGATCAAAGTTTGGGTTGTCCTCTGCTTCTACTCCATAGTAATCCACAGGCAAGTCATTGTAGAACTTGGGCCCAGTGTTGATGCGAAATCTCCCGGCAGCGGCATTCACAACGTGGGAGATGCCCATGCGGCTCAGCTGTGCCTTGTCACGAGCGACATACCTGGAAGGAACATGGGCAATTATATTTGCCTGCTGCACTGCAATGCAGGGAAGAACATGCTGCTGATGCTGAGTTTGTTACGACCGCAGGAAGTGATGGTGGCTATTTTTTTGACAGGTTGATCAGGCTCAAAGTGTTCATCAGAATGCTTTGAGACAGAAGTGACTTGTTAAGAAACTAACTCTTAGATTTCCCTCCGTTTTTTCCCAAACACATGTTTAGATGGTTCTCAACTGATGAAAGGTGGTGGTGGAGATATTTCTGCACAAGCTAAGGGGTTTCTGATTTCAAGGACTTTCTCACCAAGTCACCTCTGCTGAATATTGCCTAACTCTCTGTATAAATATTTTTTTTTTTTTTTTTAATAAAGAATGGAAGATTTGGGGGAAGACTTGCAATAACCCTCAACCCTTCCTGTCTCTTACAGGTCTCCCACATAAAGGTTTGGCCAGACTTCATCCACGTGTCCTGTGGGGTGTGTGCGAGTGCAGAGCAGGCGACGCAGCTCCTCCAGGGATGGTGTCCCAGTGCTGCTCCCACTGTCGGGCATCCAGCTTGAGGCACTTCTTATCCTAGGCCGCCGTAAGTCCTGGCTGCACAAAGAGTCCCAGGCCATCCTGAAAGGGAAGAGAAGACATTCACCACTGGCCAGAGATAGTTCTGACAGGTCCCTTTCTTCCTCTCACCTTGTCAAAAAGTTGATTAAAACTTCATTATATTTTTAAAGATTATTTTCTTCATAGGAAATGGGGAAGTTCCTACTACTGTCTGGAATTCTAAATGCTATTATTAGCACAGTGAAAAAGCCCAGCCCTTGATATGCCAGCATGAGGCTTCTGCTTTCACATGGAAAGAGGTGATGCTATGGAAAGTGTCGTGTGTAAATATATCAAAGGGTGTAGAAACAAAGAATTAACATGATATGCTGAGGTTTTCCTTTAACCAGGTAACTAGGGCTTCCTTATATATTCTTAATCTGATTTGTCTTCCAATTTGCTAAACAGACTGATCTGGACTGAGTAGAATCATTACTGCAAAATCTTATTCACTGGTCAGCTATTAATTGTCAACTTCAATGAGGAAAACTATGTAAGGAGTAGTTTGGTTCTTTCCAATGGTATTTACTGGCTATAATGGTTGTCCTAATGAGAAATGTTCATGTTAGAAAAATCTGGATTAGTTACTGTGATTCCAGCTGAGCATTTAGATGAGCATTGACTAGTTTTTTTTAGTAAGTTGGTTTAATTTGCATTCCTCTCCTCTCTGCTCCTTTCAAGAACTATCCCATTTCTAATCTTGAAGCAAGTACTTCAGTTACAATGAGAAACACTTTTTTTAGGCATCTCTTTATCTTTGGAATTACTCTGTTTCCATATGGTACATTTCTTTTGAAATAGTGGTTCCTCTACAGTGTTAATTGTAGAATTGAACTGTTGAGAGGATTTTTTAAGAGGGTAATAGAAATTACAGTTTTCTCAGAGTTCTGTTCTAAGAAAATATTATACTTCTTTTCTTGTATGTTCTAAAAATGACTCAAACACCTGCATTACAGAGGTAGTAGGAAGTCTGTCAACTCATGAGCCTTCAAACAGAAGCACCTGTCTAGGACATAGGTGAAGTTGCAGTCAGTGAGTCAAGTCTTGCTCTGAAGCATGTCTTCTACATAAATGATTTGAGGGGTGGTTTGGGGTAAAACAGTCCAGGACAGCAGCCTGGAATCTTGCATCTTTCTGCTGAACATATCTATTATTAACAAATAGGTTGTATTTAAGTTCAAGTACCTTCAATGACCATTCATTTTCAAACACCAGCTGTGGTGAAATGTTCTCCTAGTTTCCCACCCAGGTATTTTCTCTAGCCCTAAGTTCACATTTTAGTGTAATTTTATTTTGCATGCACAAAGACCGAGCAAGAGGATCTGCAGGCTAGCCTGCTGTGGAAGCTCATTGCACCTTCATATTAATGCAGTTCCTTGCTGAAGGGCAAATGGAGCAACTAATTCCCTGAAATATCCATAGAAAAGGAGGGAAGTGTTAGGCCACAGAATGGTCCCTACAAGTCACCCTTCTGCCATGCATGTGGGGTGATCTGCTTTGCCACCCAGTTGCCAAGAGGAGCCCTCTGTCATTTCAGTACACCTTCTCCTGCCACCTCCATGGCAGCTCTGGCATCTTGGATACAGTCAGTTTTCACCAAGTGATGTTCCCAGAATGGTCTTGTATTGTTACAAGAGCATTACAAAGAGCTCCACTGTGGAATGTGCTCCCCTCCCAAATGTGCATATCTCCTCCAGTGTCAGCTTTTACTGTGGAAACAAAAGCAGATGTTCTTGCCCATTTTGGATGGCTTTATGCAAGAGGAGGCATGGAGAAATTCCCTACTGGAACAGGCATTTCCCATTTATTTTGATTGCTGCTTTGACACTGGCCACCCTAGTGTCCCCTGTGCCAGCTTCTGCCTGGCTCCTGCTGGTGATTTTGGACACTTCTCCGATCCCATAAAGGACATCTGCAGCAGATATGGGACTTGGATTTCCTGTGCCCTGACCAAAGGGCCATCTGCCAGTTCATGAAGTATTTTCAAGAATAACAACCTCCTCCAATCCTTCCCACATCATAATATCTGCAGTAAATGTTCCCCTTTTTTGATGTACCTAATTCCTTGCAGTGTGGCTAATGACCACTCTAGGACACTTCTCCCTCCTTGTAAAGTTGCTTTAAACTGTTTTGGTTTTTTCTTATTCAGTACTGTCCGTTATCCTTTTCTCTTGTTCTCTCCACTGTGTAAATACTTTGATTTTCCTCTTACCTCAGTGGACTGAAGGCTGCTGTCAGCCTTGCTTTCCTAATCCTCACAGGAGCTGGGCAGATAACTGTGAACCTAAGGAAAAGTCCTCCTTCAAAGACTTGTTTTGTTTTGTTAGAATTGTTTCTAAAAGGGAACATAACTGCATAGGCTGGGCAAAAGGAGGTACTGTGTGCTACATGGATATTTAAAGCTGCAGAATAACAGTCTTTATAAGATGGGACTGCTTCTTCAGAATTATGCTAAGATGACTTTCAGCTTGTGCTCACATGGACATTGTATTATAGATTAGGAATTTACTCCTGTTGAAACACCGATGTGAACTGCTGATGGTGTGTACAAAGCTTATTTCATTTTCATTCTGGTCACATGTTTTTTAATTGGAGAATAGCATCAGTTTCTGTAAACTATACATCCAATAAAAAGGAAGTACTAGAGTTCAAATTTCAAATGTGACATAACTGTAACCAACAGGCTGCAAATGACTCCAAATCAGAGAAGCCTCAGTAGGACTATACAACTAATATATTGAATATTGAATGCATTGAAAAAAAATAACTTTCCATAGAAAATTTACAGACAGAAAAACAAGATTTTTTTTTCTGAATAAATGACTACTCAGTTCTGACATCAGTCTAACATCTTAACTCACTAAATTTATACATGCAAGTGTCATTACTGAAATGCACATGTTTAAGGAAAACAATGCTATGATTAAAATGTTCTATAATATTTTATAAGGAACATGGATAGATTAAAAAAATTAGTGTGAAAGGAAAATTATTATTTGTAATAATGTGATGGCTGTTCATTTAAAAAAAATGTTTTTAATGGCTCTCAGCTCACTTCCTCTATACTAACTTTTTGTAGTGAATCTGTTTCTAAGATGTGTGTTGTATGAATGAGGATTACAATTTTTAAATGCTGGTTTCTGGATGATGATGGCATGAAACATTCCTGATCTTTGCTCTACTGGAGTTGTATTTTGGTAATTATTCAATCACATAGGAGAAATTTTGCCATTGTATTTATATTAATTTTGAATAGGCAGGTACTGCAACTGTAATTGTATCTGTACTATGCAATAGAATTTCCTTAATTACAACTAGCAGGAGGATTGAGATCAGAGGCCTGTTGCAAGCAGGTCATTCTGGTGATGCAGAGTGACCCAGAGTATGACACAGGCTGGTGAGAGCAATCAGATCAATGGTTCCTAATATATCAACTATCCCAGGAAGAAAGTGGTCCTGTGAGAGGTCCCAGATAACATCTCCTTCATGACTACGATTCTCTCTGCCCAGTAGGGAATGCCCCTATGGACTGCATACACTGTGGATGCTTTGGTTGGGTTTCAGTTAATTCAGTGACTACAGCTTTATCTGTAACAGAATTGGTGCAATTCAGTGCCATGCTGGGGAGAGGGCCTTTAGAGCCTTTAGGTTCCTTTACAGGCGTATCAGTCCTTGGAAACATATGCCACCTTTTATCTAATTTCCCAATTCCATGATATTTAATTAAACAACAAAATTAAAAGACAGTGTAATTTGACAATTTGTCATTACCTTGATACAAGATCAAGTTGAGAGGATGGTATGAAGGCTGAGATGAAACAGCAGAAAAACCTGCAGCATGATGCTGAGGTAAATCCGGAGGAAAAAGCAACTCTTGTGTCTAGGATATTTAGCAGAAAGCCTTTAAAACCTCTGCTTTAACTTGCATTTTCCAATGCCAAGATAAACGAGGGACCTGTGTATACTATAAGGATATTAAATCATTTCAATCAAGTGTCAGATATTTTAATCATCCCAGGACCTATGCTGGCTTTTCTGTATGGGTAGAACTTAGCCATTTTCTTATGACATTAGTAAAAGTATTTCCGAGTCTTTAAATCCCGAGAACAAAGCAGCCTCCATCCTGTGTTTTCTCAAGCTGCTATGTGCTATAACCTTGCCATCCCAGTGAAGATATCAGTCTGGCTATACTTCGAATAGACTGATTTGTGGTGGTAAAAGACTGGGCTGAAGCTCAGGACTTGGCCAAGTAGGTCATGTCAAGTTCATGCCTATCATGTATTCAAAAGCCATAAACATTTCTCAGAAAACCTATCCCCTGGAAAGGTTCCTCCAAGCTAATGTATGTTTGAGAGAGGGTTTTGTGTTGCTACATCGCCACACAAATGACAAGTATTACTGTCATCATTCTTTCTTCCTTAGCGTTTAACCCAATAGTCTCACTGGAGTCATAATTTATCAATTGCTAGGAGCACTACGAGATATAGATGGTATGAATCAAACAGCAATGACTGAGGTAGGGCTGGCTGGACTTGAAAGCTGAGACAGAGGCAGTGTCTAGGGAGGCACAAGGTATTTGAGTAGCCAACTGTTTGTAAGAAAATATCTTCAGCAGCTGGAGGCTATAATCTGAACAGCACTTCCAAATTTAGTGGAGGCTTCCAGACCCATAAGTGTAACCTAGCTATGCATTTAGGGCAATGCACCCACTTGGTGGGGCTTGGCAAAATCCATTAGGTGGACTTGCTCTCCACAGCTCACAAAAGGCCTATGGTCAGGAGCAGACTAAATCTCTGTACTGGACAGCTTTCAGCAGCATAAGGCAAAAACATCTGAGTTTTTTTCCTCTCAATATTGCACTGGCAAACATTTTCCATCCTAACTTTAGAGGAATTATGATGCTTCCCAACTGATAAAGTAAAATATTCTCTGTGTGCTATCCAGGGAAATCAGCAGCTACATTTTTGATACAAAGCACTCCTCAAATGGAAGGAAGAATTTATTCAACCCATCCTGGTACT